TCACATGCTGCTTGTCCTGGCGGCAGCTGGCAGTGACTCCTTCTGCCTTCCTGTTCTTTCTTTTCTCCTCTCTGTTAGTCCCGCCTATACTTCCTGCCTAGCCACTGGCCAATCAGTATTTTATTTATGGACCAATCACAGCAACACATTTGCCATACAGAACATCCCACAGCAAATGTTATGTGACTTCCTGCTGTGAATATCATTCTGTATAAGTAAAACACTGATTGGCCAGTAGCCAGGCAGGAAGTATAGGCGGGACAAGGAGAGAGGAGAATTCCGGGAAGTGGAAGGCAGAGGGAGATACTACCAGGCACTGCCATGACAAGCAGCATGTGAAGATGCCAGTAAGCCACGAGCCATGTGGCAAGGTATAGATTTATAGAAATGAATTAATTTAAGATATAAGAACAGTTAGCAAGAAACCTGCCACAGCCATACAGTTTGTAAGCAATATAAGTCTTTGTGTTTACTTGGTCGAGTCTGAGTGGCTGTGGGACTGGTGGGTGACAGAGATTTGTCCTGACTGTAGGCCACGCAGGAAAACTCTAACTACAACTTCCTCCATTATTTCCTACCTTATTTCTTGAGACAGAACTTCTCAGTGACTCTAGACCTCACCTCATCTGGACTGACTGACCCTAAAGTTCAAGGGAAGGTGCGTGTCTCTCCAACACCCTGGTGCTAGGCACATAGGCATGCTCTGCCTTGACTAGTGTTTGCATAGGTCTGGAATATCCATACCCAGGTCCTTATGCTTGTGGAGAAAGCACAATGATGATTATGCCATCTCCCTAGTCCGTAAATCATTCTTAAAATAAAAGACTTAAAAGTGTCTATACTTGACAAATAGCTAATTATGACCCCTTAAAAGGTATCTTCTAATATTTAAACCCAAAATCTTTTGCAATAGGATATTTTAAGTTATTAATAAGTTATTAAGTAGCAGTTTGTATTTGGGGCATTTCCTCTTACTCACTAGGTATTTTCTATCCAAAGGAGTAGACAGTTTTCACTATCTTGAGTAAAGATAAACTGAGAGAGATGGACAGAGATTGAACATGAGCACTAATTATTGGGTTAGAATTTCAGTGCTTTAGGGTAGTGAACTACTAGACTTTAATTTGAGTACATACACTAAAAGTTGAGTAGATTAGAGGCAGGTAAGATGGGTCTGCCCTCTAACAGAATAAATTCTCAGCCAAAATTCCACTGAATACACCTCCACTTATGGGCAACCTAGAAATACACATCCAGGTAATATCACACAACTTCAGTGTGTCATTCTGCTTCTGATCTTTTATGTGTATTCTGAAGGCACCACATATTGAGGATTTGGTAAGGCTGGTGTGACAATAGCCTGCCATTATACAATCAGCTCTTAAGGATAAAACTCACAACTAAAACACTTAATGCTATCATAATAATAAATAATTCCTAGTTAGAACTAGGAACGAAAAATTTTCTACTCTGAGGTACCAACCCAACTGAGAGAAGCCCACACTGGACAAACCTGTATGAGAAAGTAGAAATGAAGATCTCTGCATCTTACATACCTTGCAGCTTGAGATAACCATTGTAACTGGATGGAAGCTGATTTGTTATATTCTTATACAGGTGAGTCTGCAGAAAGGCAGAGTAGAGGGTCAGGGGAGGCTACTCACAGTATACAATTCACCACTCAAAGTGGGTGACATTTGGAAGAGTGAGACTTGCTATTATTAATGTCAACAGTGGAACAAAAGCAATTTAAGGTTGTCCCAGGCAAATATATGATCATCCTAGCCACATAACTCTCTTTTATTCTGTGTTACCATATACTGTTTGAATGAAAACAGACTCAGACAAAATTCTACTAAAAACAAAGTCATATTTTTATAAGAAGGGAAGCCTGCCATCTTTGTTCCCAGATACTACAGCAAAGTCTTTATATAAACTATCTTTTCTTTTGAGTTAAATGAGAAAAATTTTTCCAAATCTTTCAGTAAAGAATCTAAGAGTAGAATATATTAATTCTTTTTACATAAATGGAAATTATAATAGACATGTTTTGACTTAAGTAAAATCTCAGAATTATCTGCAGTTTCCAAATTAAAATATGTCAATTTAAATATTAAGAGCAGAACAGTAATTTTCCTACCACAAGTTTTTAAAGTTATTGATTATATTTCACAGGCTGTGAAATGACCCTGAAAGTTTCAGGTATTTCTGCAGGGATTTCTTTTTACAAATATTTCTTGAGACAACTTTATTAACAAAGGGTAAAAATAAAGGATTGGTAGTTGGTTTTCACGGTCTCCACAATGAACAAGGGAGTAAGATTAATATTGTTGTGGCATTATCACCATGCAATTTTATTAAAACTAGTTTTGTGGCACCAGAAAGAATAACTGTTCTTCTGCAGCTATTGTGAGAAAGGAAACAACAGTGACTTTTTTTTTTGCTATGAGACATTTGTCTTTGCCAGAAAATGAGGACAAATTTTTAAGGAAAATTACTAGAATATCATTAGTTGTCAGTGAGATCAAAATATGAAAAAATGGGTCCCCAAAGCATGAAACTTTCAATATGAAGTATGCTGAATGAGATTTTCAGAAAAAATGGGATCTAATGTAGTGCATTCTTTAGAATCTAACATCCTAGGGTGGAAACAGACATCGTTTGGTATCTATGAACTTGTACTGAAAAGAAATGGTATGAGTTCAGGGCCAAATGCACTGAAACTTGAGGATGGCCTTTAGGGATGCTGTGATGAATTCTATTCATTCAGGAATGGTACCCAGCCATGTGATAATCACCAATTATTTTATCAATGAAAATTCATGTCTATCATCTCTTTGCAAAGATTTTTGTTGTAGTATTTGAAGTATTTATGTAATTAACTTCTTTTTAGGTGAATTCCTGGCAATATTTTAAATGCAAACTGCTGTGGATATTGCTCTATATATAAATAAAACACTGGTTGGCAAGTGGCCAGGCAGGAAGTAGG